TGGGGTTAAAGTTGGAGGGATTTTGCTACAGTTGTATTGTTACAGGTTCCTACAAGTAACTTACAGCTCCCTCTTTTCCTTCTGAAACCTCTCCAAATCTGTTTGTCCGTAGCCTGAAGTAATGCAAACCCTAACATTCAGTGCATTTGAGCAGAATTGCTTTGGGAGTCTTCTGCAGAAAGTTGGTTTTGTGATGCAGCCCAGTAAAAGAAATCTGTTGCCTAATTGGGGATCTTGTAACGTGTATATGGTGCTGATAGCTGCTTTTAATATGCTTGGTCCTACAGACATAACTTTTACCTTTTTGGTGCATTTCCAAAAACACTGAGATAAATTCCATTTTATATTAAATACAGTGCAGTAGCTTATTGAATCAGTGATTAAAATGGTTAGGTCTTGGCAATGCTTGCAGTTTAACCTTTTTCTGAATTTGTTCAGGTACAGCTGTCCCCTATGGGAAACTTCCCATTTAAACCAGGTAGGTTCTGAATTTGTGGATCACAGCTAGGTTTTGTTAACAGTAAGAGACAGAGTAGGGGTAGACAGAGACAGACACTTGTAAATGGAAATGGTGTAAAGAGCCTAAAAAGGATATCAAAGGACATGAAAGCAATTTGAAGAGAGTTTAGCTCATTTATGTCTAGTTATTCAGGGAGGCTGAGGGGCTGGAATGTATGTCCTCAAGATGAAGTGCATCACATCTGCGATCTGAATGTGAAGAAAAATCTCTGGTTTTACACAAGGCCCAGGCCTTTGAGGGTGCACCTGGACTGCATTCAGAAAGTGGCAGTAGTGTAGTGTAGACACCCCCAAGCTGGCTTCAGAAGTAGCTGGCTTGCCAGGACAATGCAAAGGTCAGTGTAGATTAATTTTCTCTCCAAGCAGCAGGGTAGATCTACCCTGTCAGTGGGATTATGTGCTTTAGTGCATCAAACAGAATAGCAAAGTATGGGGCAGAAGGCAAATGTGTCTGTAGTTGCACCAGTTTCTGAAATCTCTCCTATTAATTCTTCTGTCCTTCTCTCTATTCCTTTATGTAAAACTTGCACTTAAGAAGGAAAACCTTAACTCCTTCAAGAGAATGTGATTGTTGGGGTGTGGGTGCTTAGTGCTTTCTCAGTATCTGGTTACTAGTTCTGGTTCTTCTGTTCTAACTTGCTCAGAGCAGAATGAGACCTGTCTGACCTGAAGACAGCTTATAAAAAGTCCCAAATCAGGGATCTTTGCTAGAGCACTCACCTGGGTGAATGTGCACTCACAGCAGATGCACACTGTTCTTTTCAGTATGCTATAATTATATTAACTGTCCCTGTGTGTTTGTGACCTTATGGGCTGCAAGAACTGAGGCCTAGGGCAGATGTTCGCAGCTGCACAACATAATTTTGTGGGATGAGGAGGTAAGGATTTGACAGATGGGTGGACTGTGGTTTTCTTATATTTTAACAGCAGCAGGTGCTTGTGTTTGTGCTTAAGGAAGATTACAGACTTGGTGAGCAGAGAGCGACCAGGTGCTTGTCATTGGTAGGAAGGGTGGTAAGGGCTCGAGCCCTTGGTAGAGGGTTGGGGCCTCATCCCTGTTTTTCCAGGGTTTGGAAGGATGTTGCAGGTTGTTGGGAAGGAAAGAGCTTCACAAATGTGCTCCTCCTCCCATCGGTACAAAACCAAACAAACGCGAGGCTGGATCCGACTCTCCCCTGCCACATTCGCACTTCGGGTCTCCAGCTCCTTGGGACAGAAACTGTTCTTCCTTTTGTCTTACAGGGTGCTGAGCTAAATGTCTGGGCTCATCTCACAGAGAACATTAAGAAGGCTCTGACTTAGCCTGCCAGAAAAGAGACAGGAAAAAGTCTCTCCACTGAAAATCAACACTTGAGGAAGCTAATTGCATGTGGCAGACAAATGGGGAAGAAAGATTTGAGGCTGCGTGGAAGCAGTCCCTCCCGTACTTCAAAAAAGAACTCCGTCGTTGGCAGAAGTGACAGTGCATTATACTGTGCCATGGTTTTAAGTGGAGGAAGTTCTTCCGGAAAACAAAAGGTGTCCTATGGGCTGAGATGAGAGGTGCAGTTTTGTAGTTCAGGAGACGGTAATCACTTATCGTGATGTAGGTTCAGAAATATGTTGATAAGGCTACTGCAAGCTAGTTTGGATGTGTAAAATCTGCAGCGCAGCAAGGACTAGGTTAGCTTTGTCAGCTATACCAGGTAAGGTAGAAGTCTTTAAGGCTTATGTAAGGAAATTAATGGCCTGAGCAAAGGTTTTGCTAAAATCAGTGGGAAGATACTAATGGATTTTGGGTCGGGCTTTCAGGTATGTGCTGGGAATTGAAGAATACCTCCCATGGGTCACTGAGTATTAAAAGGTTTTACACATCTTTGTAATGAAAGAAAACATGGCAATTCACCTGAATGTGTGCACACGCATACACACACGTGTGTATCCCTCCCGTTAAATAAGGCTTGCCCTTAGCTAGTTCTAATGGACTCTTCAGATGCATCAATGTTTCTGTAACAAGCCAGGTTAGACTAGAACAGAGGCAAGGGGTGAGATGAAATGAGGTAGGCAACTTTTCAATATTTTAGTGTATATTAAAATTAGTTTTAATCTAGTTTATTCCTGCTTGACTTGCTCCTTCTGGGCTGACCATAAGCAAGGCAGCAATCATATATACAACTGCTTTTAAATGAACTATCCCCATGGTTCCTGGGAAGATGCTTATACTCTGCTCCCTCCAGCCGTCTCTTGTGCCTGCTCTTGTCGCTGCAGCTAATCGCATCATATTGCATCTGAATGTAGTCGGTAATCTCTTTAGGGCAGGACAATGGTGAGAGTCTGTTCTGAGCCTGGAAGGTGCAGGCCAGACCATGCAATCCAGGGGAGGGAGGTTGTAGTGACCTTTAGCCACTTTTTGTGTTCTCCTGACTCCGGACTTCTCTGGAGCCTGGACAGCCCCTGTTGGGCCTGTCTCAGGTTTGGCAATACTGGGGGTGCCTTGTGAGCCTCTCCAGGGATAGGATTCCCATAGCACGGTGCTGCAAGTGACATACCCCCTACAGATTTATGCCTGCTTTTCCCAGTGTTTGGGCTGAAGAACAGAGCCCTTCTGTGACCAGCAGTGGGATTTGGGGCCCCTTTTACCACTTGAATGCTTTTGCTGGCAATCAGGGACCAGGGATGAGGGAGGATCCAGGTCTTTCTCTCCTCTGGTCCATGCGCTTCTCAAAAACACTGACTTGCTGGAAAAATTCAAGCTACGGTAGCTGTTGTTTGTCTTCTGATGTTTCCTATCAAATATCAACTGCCTAAACACCCCCTTCTGCTGCCCCCCTGCTATCTGAAGAAGGGATTGGAGCAACATCTCAATGTCATCTCAAAGCTTTCCAAGTCAAAGATGCTCTTTTTGATTCACTCTGACTCACACGTGGGAGGAGGCTATGCTAGCATTAGTCTGGCTGGGAATGTCTTGTGCCAGTACTCCTTAGCTCTAGGCATGAGCTGTTGGAAGAGGTGTCCTTTAATTGAGGCAGCTGTACAGTGCCCAGCACCATGGGCTCCAGTAACCAAGGTAGAGAAGGTCATTTGAGCCTTGCCCATCCATTTAGCTTGCACCTGCCTTATCGTGTTGACCTAAATCTGACTAAAGCACTGTTTTTTTTTTTTTTTTTTCTTTTTTTTCAGAGGGGTATGTCTAGTACAGGGGTGACCAGCTTGTGGCATGGGCAGCCTCTGTGTGGAACATTGTACAGTGGCAGATAGTGCAGAAAGCAGAGCAGCAGACCAGGCAGGAAAAGGAGATCAGAGTGACACCTGGGGAGGGCGTGGGGTTTAAAAAGTTTGGCCCCTGCCAGTCCAGTAGATGCTGGTGTTAGAAGTGAAAAGAAACTAGGACTGGACCTAGGGAGGGTGTGTGTTGGAGTGTTTCTCTATTTAGACAGTAAGAAACTTAAAGCAAATGCCGTAGTTCAGAGGTAGCATTTCCTGGTGGATATAGCACTAGGCTAAACAGCTGGAGGCCTGCAGCCTATTCCTGGATCTGCACTGGCCAGTGTGGGGATCTGAGAATTGCTCCTCCTCTCTGTGCCTTGGTTTGTTCCTCTGTGCAGTGGGCACAATCATGATGTCTTCTGTTGAGTGCTTGGGAAGGATAGGTGGAAATGCTGTTGAAGAATAAAGGATGACTGTTTATTAAAATGCATACAAAGCTCAGAAAAAAAAATAGTCTCCCAAAGCAGGTGAGTCCTGCCTCTTTCCCTTCTGTCCTTTTCTGGACCGGTGAATGCACTGCACTAGTCACCGCCACCTTCACCACTCTCTCAAGCTGGGGCAGCCTGCGCCTCTGACATCCAGCACCACACCCCACTGCTATCATCTTCCACTGCCTGTTGCCTTTGTGTGTGGTCTGAGTGCCATGTCGTATCTCAGGGGGATGAGGAGGAGGGTGGGGAGCACGGAATAAATCCTAGATCTCTGAATCATTTCACACAAAGCAGCCAATTTTTCTTTTAAACAAAACCATACACTTCCCATGTTGACTTTTGGGAACCTGCGCGTGGTCCAGAGGTGGCTCCACTCCAGCCGATGAGGAAGAGGGCGAGAAAGCAACCAAATTGCTTTGTTGGTGCTGGGACGTGACAGCTGGTGTCTCTTCTTTTGGAGCACAGCAGGGACCCAGGAAGTGCTTTCTTGCAGGTACGGTGTGGGGTACAGCAGGGTGTTTGCACAACAGGTGGTTTCCCATTTGAGGCTCTTGGTAACACAACCCCTTCCAACTGCAAACGGAAGAAAAAGCCCTTGTGCTGCTTAGAAATGCGGCTGCACTTGGGACCAAACCCCGTCATGCAGCAAGCCCATCTCCCTCCTGCCCCGGGAGCACGCACAGGAAATGTAGTGTTCCTGACTCTGAGGACTGGTGTGGTACTGGGCTGTGGGGTGGAGGGCGAGATGAACTAGGGTGACTTGGCTCCGATTCTAGACGGCCCCAAGACATTTGGGATTTTGCAGGTTATTTCTGGTCCCTGAAGGTCAGTTGGAGCGGGGAGAGGGAAATGGGAAGAACTGACAAGCTGTCTGCTCCTTGGTAATGTCTGCCAGCCCCAACGGGGGAGAGGAGGGGAGGGGGCCAGAATCCAGAATCTGGCAAGCTGCTAAAAAGAAAGCGAGAAGAACAAGGACGTTGCAGCGCAAATGTAAATATCGTACGGAGAAGGCTGGAGCAGGCAGTCTGCACTTCCCTTCCGCCAGCTCCAGCACGCTCCCCTTTCTGGCATCTCTCATGGGTCTTGCAAAGTGTGTTGACAAAAGAGATTGGAGGTTGTTTTTTGCCCAAGTCTTTACGTTCGGGCTATAGCTGCCTTACTCCTCCTCTCCGCTCACATTTTCCCATATGGTGACTTTGGAAAATTCCTCTCCGATTTCACTGGAAAGCACAGGAAATTCTCTTTGGTAGAGGGTTGCCTATTTCTGTCTCTAGTTTTGCTGCTCACATCTGGAAAGGATCGGACTTCGGAAAGGGGGAAATCATTCTGCACTCAGAGCGTGTAGCTGACATGGCATGAGTTGAGGGAGCCTTTCTGGGCAAGAGATGCTTTTCTCCATCCATTTGAGCTCTGTCAACAAAGGTGAGTTTGGTTTTTTTCAGTGCTTTATTTTGTAACACCCTGATTCTGGGAGACTGTGAGCAGCCTTTTATCTCCAGTTCTTAGTGTATGTAACATGAATTCAATGCAAGTAATAAATTCCAACAACCTGCTGATTTTGAAAATAAATGATTACTGATGTGGTTGGCTTTTTCTAAACAGAGTCATCTGGATAGAGATCAGGTTGAGTTGCGGGTAGAATATACTGAGCAGGTTTATGCAGTTCAGATCAGTCTCATCTTTGTAGGGTACAAAGCAAGTCTTGAAATGTCCCTGTGCTTGAGACTTGTGCTTCTGGGGCTGCAGTGTCGGAGTCGCTGCGGTGCGGTGGAGCGAATGCTGGTCCTGAGAGGGGTCTCGCACAATGAAATAGGAAATCTGCAGCTGGGAGAAATGCTGCATCAGCTCTCAGCATAACTGGAAGTTTATTCTTTGCTGTAGGGCCTGGTCCCAAGTCTATTGAAGATCATTAAGATCTTTTAAATGATTTCTGTGCACTTTGGATCAGACTCATAGGAAACTATGGGGTTGGATTGGGCTCTTTGTGAACTGACTGAGCTTGAGCTTAAATGGAGTTCGTTTCTTCAAGCTTTCTTTGAACTCGGAGAAATCAAAATCATTCCAGGATTTATTGCCTGTGCTCCAGCTGCAAGCAGATGTTTCCTTACCCAGAGTGTCTCTGTGGCACCACAGCAACTCTCACTTCAAAGGCCCAGCTGCAGAAAAGCACATATTGATGGCAGCAGTGTGAGATTTCCTCTTGTATGTTAGAATAGGATACCAAATTTCATGCTAACAGCTCTTCTTTTTTTTTTTTTTTTAAGTCTTTATTCAACGGTTTCCCTACAACGTTAGCCAGCCATAATTTCTAGTCCCAGAACTAGAGCCTCGACTAGCTCTAGGATCAGTGGGTGCTGCCGCAGTGCCATCAGTATACCTAGGCCAGGGCTGCCTTTGGTCCGTGTTTGAAACTTTCAACTTTTTGTCATTCTCTAAAAAAAAAAAAAGAGAGTGCGTATGTACGCACATGCGGAAACGTGCGTGTATATCTATCTAGCTATCGTAAAAACACCTTCTAATGATTGCAAGTCAATCAGCAGGTGCTGCACTTTAGCTTTTGCATGTTTGAAGAACATGAGAAATCAGTAACAATTCAGTGAGTGAGGGCAATGGCATAACTGATTTCGGAGGTTGTTTGACCCCACACGCTGTGGGAGCCGCTTCTTTATAGGGCTTTCCAGCAGTGGGGCTCGAAGTGCTTTATAAAGGAGACCGCTATCATTTAACATGGACTTCTACTGAGAGGGAAGCAGAGATGCAGGGAGGCAAAATGACTTGCTTGGAACCAGCCAGCAGGTCATCTGCGAAGTCAGGGATTGAAGTTAAATCTCCTGAGTCACAGTCCAGGGCTCTCTCCACTAGGCCACTCCATCTTCTGCTCTTTTATAAGAGGAAATCAAGAGCAACTTCAAGCAATTCAGTGAAGTTGTACTGAGAACAGGATCTGGCTGCTTGGGCGCTCAGAGTATGTAGGAGATCAGGAGCCAGATTCCAAGTTGGTGCAAGGCAGCAGCACGCTTCCACTGATATCCCCAGGGCTCTGCAGTCCACATCAGTGGAGAGGTTTTTGTTTCTAAATGCAAAGGAGAAGCAGTGTTTGTCAGAGATGAATGGGGTATTTGTGCCATTTTAAGATCAAGAGTCCATCTTGCAAAACTGGTCTAAATATGAACTGTCCCAGAAAAGCTGTTCCATGACTTCTCCTACTTGGAGCTGCTTCAAGTTGCATGGTAGAGCCTAGATCACACTGATGGGTCACAATGCTGATTTTATTTTTTTTTTCCTGCAGCACTATGAGACAGGGAAGGGATAAAACACAAGCCACTAGCAGCTATATTACTGCAAATCCCCCTCTGTGAAACCTGAGAAGCACTGAGTGAGGCAGGGGAGCTGGGCCTGGGCCACTTGGCCCGTTTGAGAGAGATTTAACTTCTGTTTGCATTATTCCAACCTGCAGCCAGAAGGATCAAAGTTGAACACTAGCCAAGGCGTTCGGGTTCCGCTCAGCACAGCTTTCCAAAAGCAACGTAAGGTCCAGGCGTATCGTTTTTTTAGGAAGTCAAGATTTATTGCAACTCGGGACACTTTAAACAGCCCCCAAGTGAGGCCCATCTCGGTGCTGAGTTATCCTTTTCCAGTACACCGTGTTTACATTAAGCAAGGTGCATGTAATGAAGGGCAGTGACTTCCCCATGCAAAACTGGGTGGAACATAATGATCGATGGTTGCATAAGACTGATGTTATGTAAGCTGTATATAAATCTCCCTGGTCATCTGGTGTTTCTCTGTTTGTGAAAGGGAGTAAGCTAGTTCAGTAGCCAGGCCTAGTTCAGCTGATGCTACCAAGGACCTGTAGATCCACGCTAGGGACACACTGGAGTACTAACGAGGGGTTCTCACATTAGTACGGTGGCAGCGTCCTGGTGCCTTGGCTTCCCATGTGGATTAGCAGCATTTCCCTACCTCGGAGGGATGTGATGAGGGTAATACATCAGACTGAGGTCCTCAGACACTATGGCAAGTGGGTCAGTTAGAGGAAACTTAGATTAGATGCTACCCCAACAGTGAGTGGGAGGGGGCCTAGGATTGGTGTCAATGAAGAGTAGTCAGCGTCTGGCAGAAAGGGCTGCGCTAGGTGTTGCTAGTGAATACAGTGCCGGCAGATGATATTCAAGGTGTAGCATCATTCTGGATTTGGTAGGACCGGTGATTTGCAAAGGGCTTTCTCTTGGATCTCTTAACAGTCGCTTCCTGCAGCACTTGGGTATCCGTGCTTATGCTCTCCAGGCATTTTTGCACAGTGAAACACGGGTCTGGCGGGCTCTGCTGTAAACCATTATGAGTAGGGACCTGCTGCACTCATGGCAAAACAAAGCCATTGTTACAGCTTGCCCATAGCATGCTTGGCCAATTTCTCAGGCATTTCCCGGTGGCCCTGCCCCTTGCCACCGATTTGCTACTTGGCGGAGAGGCCCCGCCATCACTGCAGGCAGTCAGTAAGTCTCAAGCACGTGAGAGTGGCTGCAGGGTTTGCCACACTGTCGAAGTATCGTGGTAAGGATTGGGAGACTCTAAAACAGCAAAATATGTGAATAACGTGCTGGAGTTTTTCCTTTTTTGGGTTGACATCATGGGAAATAGCAGCCGACAGAATATTTCCCGGCCATCGCAGATATTGCCAGTTTTCATGGTTTCCATGAAACCGCGAATTAAGTAGGTCTCTAATTATGAGACAAATAAAATGGCCATGATGCCCTTTGGCAGTAACACTAGAGAGGTGTGGAGTTTCTAAAGCTGGGGCTGGTGCTTGGAGCACGCGGAGAAGTTTGCTCTGCCGGCTGGACGGCACGTGAGGCCAAGGTGCTAGCTGGGAGGATCACCCCTCGGCAGTCATCTCAGCATAATGAGGTTGTTTTGCTTGTCTCCTACAAACGGCCCATCGTGCCTGTGACTCCAAGCAGTCTGAGCTGTGTTGTGTTGGGCTGACACCCAGCTCCCTATGCTTTGTTTGGTTTCAGGGGAAATGCTCCCAGGCAGCAGCTTTCTGCTGGTGCTGTGGCTGTTGGTCTCTAGCTCCCACGTGATCCACGGTCAGAATGAAGAAGACAACGAATTTCTGGAAAATTCATCCAGATTGCTGAACCCAGATCCTAACTTCCCAGCTCTTGACTGCCCTAAAGACTGCCGCTGCACTCAGGAAGGAGTTGTGGATTGTGGAGGGATTGATCTCAAAGAATTCCCCACGAACGTACCAGAGTTAACCAACCACCTTTCGCTGCAGGTAAGAGAGTACCCAGCAGGTTGGGTTACAAACCTGCCAGGGGCTGTTTTTCAGCATCATCCTTTTGCTTCTTTGCATCCCAGCTGCAGGGCACTCGGATGCTCTGGGCCTGGCTGAGAGCAGGGAGGATGGGTGGCCAGAGCAACCCTATGTTCTTGCTCTTGCTCGGGGCCGTGGCTGAGGGCAGCACAATCTTGAGGGTTGCGCCTTGGCAGTCCATTGAATGCCAGTGTCAGCCCACTCCACTATCCAAGTGCTGCTTTTGCCCTGTCCCTACCTGTCCTTTCTGTTTCTTCTTCTGCCCTCTTGGCCCAGGGATCTTAGCAGCAGAGAGAAGCTGTGCCTGACTAATCTTAATCACATTAACTTCATATGAATTTATTTTTAAAATGGTTTCTTCTCTTGGACAGGTAAAGGAAAACATTGAGCTCTGCTATGACCTTAGCTCTCCCCAGTGATCGGATTGTATACAGGGAGCAAGTGGTTAGAGCTGAGACTTTCCTTATGGCTCTGCGAGGAGAATTTTATTCCAAATAAGATGTATTGTTTACTGAAGGCTCTTAGTGTTGACCTTCCTTTGGAGGATGTTTGCAGGATTCATCCCTAATATAAATCATCCCTAATCATCCCCAGTAGCTGTAAAGCAATTTATCATGTGTTAATTGAAATACCAGAAATGGGGGCAGCTGGTCACCTACAGGTTCCAAGCTGCAGCCCCAAACTTCCCTCCAGCCCCTGTCCGTGTGCAAAGGAAAGTCATGAACCAGATGATGCACTTAGAAAAAACTTGCAGGAGTTCAAACACCAGTTCCTTTGGCAAGGCACTCGCAACTCGGACAGCTAATGCTGGCCTGTATCCCAGCCCGGTGCAACCAGGAGGTAATTTTGTCAGGTCACTTTATTTGCAAGGCTGTACATGTGTAGTGAACTCACCTTTCTACCGAATGGCCTGTTCATCCAGGCAAGGGTGTGTGTGTGTGAGCGCAGAGAGCCTAAACTTCACTTAGAGGAGTCAAGCGACAGCGTCCTGTCAGTTGATTCATCTTTCCCAGCTGAGGCTGTACTGCAGTTTGCCATGCTGCTGTTATTAAATGCATCTTTGATCTACTACATGAGGATTCTGGCAGAACAAGGCATCTGTGCACGAGACAAAGTGATTAAAGCCAGTGTAAATCAATCCTGACTAAGGCCCATATCACTAAAACCATTCCTTTCTTCTCTCAACCCCAGGGTGAAGCTGTTGCTCCCCATAAGGCTGTAGCTGGATTGTTGGTCATTCGTCAGCTTTGAAGTGTTGTGCAGTGCCAGCCCTGGGGAATATATCCATAATTATTACTCTCTTCTATTGGAGGAAGAGAGCCAGGTTCAGTTCTCTAGTAGAGCAGCGTGCATCTAAAACAGGGGTGTCAAAGATGCAGCCTGCGGGATGGACTGGATCTATGCAGCCATGTCACCTGGCCCCCACTGCTGTCCCTGTGTATGCCAATCTGGGCCCTCCTCCATATGCAGGATCCAGCACTTGCAGTGCCTATTCTGGCCGGCCTGAGACCGCTGCACATGGAGATGGCTACAGCTGGTTCAGGGCAGGCACCGCTTGGGTCCTGGAGCAGGCACCACATGCAACACAGTCCTGCATCAACCAGAGCAGGCACTGGGTCTGGCCTGCAGGGGATGGGGCTCTGTGGGTCCCCCACATGCCAGATCCGGCACCTGTGCCATAGGTCATGCCAGCTGCAGCCAGTCTAGGACCTGCACTGCATATGGCATCCACCCTGAACCAGCTGGAGCAGGCACTGCATACACCTCACGTCCCAATTAGGCCAGAGCAGGCATCATGTGGTGCAATCCTAGACTGGCCAGATTGGATGCCCAGGTCTGTGAGCCTGCGGGTCAGGCCCCTACCACTTGTTTAGCCCATGGAGCGGGCCCACAGGGCCAGAGAAGTTTGATGCCCCTGATCTAAAGCAGTTCCACATTTTACCCCTCATTTAGAACGTGTCCCAAAGCCTTTCATGAGCTATTCTTTGGTAAGTGCCACTGATGGTAAGTAGATGGAGCAGGCAGTTTGCAACAGGTAATTCAGAGCTGTCATTCAAAGTGCAGCCACAGTCAGAAACCTGTAATACAAATTGGTACCTTCTTGCTTAACGGGCCTGTTCCTGTTGTGCTCCAGTCGCAGTCACTTACCCTCCTGTCAGAAGCAGACCTTTCACTCTTGTTTAGCCCACTAGATGGGAGGCTGGTTCCACGCTGCATGCTCTTTGAAGCAGAGACGGTCACTTCCTATATATGTATATTTGTACAGCTCCTAGCACAGAGGGTCCCTCATGCTGACCAGGCCTCTAAGCTCCTCTATAATGTACATGGTGGATAATGATATGGATGATTTTCAGCCTTGTGCAGTTTCAGGGAATTGTTATAATTAAAGCCTGATGACAGGCTGTTTGTCAGGGGGAGAGTGTCACAGATCAGAACCTGCTTGATGTGCAGATCCCACTGAGTTTGCACTTAGCAAATCCTGTGTTTGCTTATAAAGTGATCGTGTTTTATCAGAAGAAAATTCATTGCGAGGCAATTCTGAGGCTCCATGAGGCCAGCCTTACAGGGGTCCTTCTGCTTTTCCACAAGGTCTGTTGCTTATGGTGGCCAAAGCTTTACTATAACCTGCTCCTTATGCATAACCAGAACAGACTTGGCTATTACTAGAGAAGAGCCCAAGCTGTAAAAATTCATCCAGGTTTTCAAACCCTGCTGTGCACAGGAGCACTGTACATTCACGTGCTTTAGATTCAGGGTATGAGCCTGGCTCATTGTAGAGAAAGGGCCTTCCCTGACATTTGGATCCAGATCCAGACTTTCCCAAGGTTCAAAGCCTGGGGTTTGGTTGGGACATTTCTTGGGTTACTTAGCTGATGATCAATACTGTTCTCCCTTTTCCTAGAATAACCAACTGGAAGAAATCTCTCCAGAAGAGCTTGCTCGTCTTTACAGGCTAGAAACACTCAATTTGCAGAACAACAGGCTCACGTCGAAAGGTAAGCTTGAAACCCTGAGAGCAGAGTGGAGAGGAACCGTTGACCTTGTTGCTTCCAGGCACTGCAGCATGAGCTTATATAATAACCCTGCTGGCGCTTGCAAGCAGGAGGTGTGAGGACTGGTGGGTGTACTTGAGTGTTTAGAAATGCCTGGAATGGCTGGCGAGCTGCATCTGTCCTTTGGCCATTGCACAAAATGTGGAGGCGCTTCATCATCCGAAACAATACTCAGGACACAAAAATGCAGCCCTGCTGAACCAGGGGAGGAGACCTGGAAGCCACGCTGCATACTGTCATGACAGCCACGAGTCCAGGCAGCTCTCCTCAATCCCTCAGGTTCCCCTCTGCAATGTGATGGAAAGCTAGGGACGTCTGTGTGCTGAGCAAGTTTCCTGCCACCAGGCCAGCCTCTTAACTTGTCCCTTCGGTTCTGTTCAGTTTGGTTCATTTGATCCTAGGTCTAGTTTGCTCAAAGCCTCTGGAGCCATATCATTTACCTTAAAAGTAACATGGGTCCCAACCTCTCTCAACCCACTTTAATTGCTGTGAGTTTTGCTGTATAACTCGCACATGTATTATAGAAACATGTCATTTAATTAGCACAGAAAAGGCCAAATTCTCAAAGGACAAGGGAAAGTATTTGGGAAGATTCTTGTGACAAAGGGGTGATGTGTGTGTGACACAACCCTGGGGTGCCAGTGTGTTCCCAAAGCTATACTCTGGGTTTGTGCAAGTGTATTGGTCCTCCTCTCTGCTGAATGGGTATGCCCGGCTTATTAATTTGTTCAGGAATCATGATTTACTACAGGTACTTCAGTAAAGTAATAGGAAAAACAAAAGGGTTTATTACAAAGAAGAACAAACAGTATATAAAAAAGAAGTGATCAAATGCTTTGACAATGGTATGTGGTAAAACAAAACTGACAAAATCCTTTCCTTGTGTGCTAACCCTCATAAATATTCCTGTGAACATCTCTTGGGGTCATCCTCCCCTCTGTCTTGGCCAGCCCCCTCCACCAGGGACCGCGCCACAGAATCGGAGAGAAGTGGGGCTGGAAGGGACCTCCAGAGGTCATCTAGTTCAACCCTGTCCCAACCATCCTATAAATCCATAATCTAAAATCGACATGAAATGACTGTTAACCCTGGCGCAACACAGACCTAACACCCTACCAGGTAAAGCACAGGTAAAGCAGAGGAATCGCAGCAGCCAGTGTCCTGCTTCTATGAAATGTTGTCAGTAGACACTCAAGAGGGCCCACGTAGCGGGCCATGTCCCGCTAAATTGGAAGGCCACAAGCCCCACAGTCCACCCCAGTGTGACCATGGGGTAAAATTCCTTCCTGACCCTAACTACGGTGATTGGTCTGACTGTGAGTGGAGGAAAGGTAAGACCCCCTAGCCAGAAACTTCTGGCTTTGGTCCTAGCAGGAGTATTGGCACATCCCAGTCACAATCCCCAGCCTGGGCTGCAGCCAACATACAATGCCTTTGCAGAAGGCTTAAAAACATCCTGCCTCATGTAGCCGACAGCGCGGTGTGGGGGCAATCAGCAAAGCCCAGAAGCATGGGAATTGCCCGTAGAAGATCACAGGCATGGCTACGCCTAAATCATCCCTGACCGGTGGTTGTCCAACCTCTTCTTGAACACCTCTGGTGATGGAGAGTCCACAGCTTCCCTAGGCATTTATTCCCGCCTGGTCTCTGACCCCCAGAACATTTCACGTGGCCTTCCCCCACCTCCCACCTGCCTACAGAGGAGCCAGAGACTCCTCCAGAGCGTTTCTGCCCATGGGCCTGTGACAGCGTGCAGTTCAGGAGCTGTTCTTGTTGCTGGCCAATGTGTTCCCCTGCCTATGACATGCATCCTGATGTTCAAAGGAGGTTGCTTTTCAGCAGGTTGAACTGACGTGATTGAAAACATGGCTCCATTATACTCTGATACCACACAGCAAATGAAATAATACTGTATTTACTCAAGTCTAAGATGAAATCCCTCTCTCCGCGCCCATTTAACATGGGGAGAAAATCCCCTTGTCTTAAAATCAAGTATAAAGGTGGTTGGGGAGGGAGGGGAGAGCAGGCAGCAGCTGTGGCTCAGGCTGCAGTCCCTACCTGGGATTGGGACTGTAGCTTCCCACCCCCACCTCTGCATGCTGCCATTTCCCCTCTACCACCTCTTTTCCCACCCTACTACCTTCCCACATGAAGCTTCTGCTCCCCTGCCTGCCCCTGTCCCTCCCACCGGCAGGCTTTGTGCACTCTGCAGCCTGGGGCACTCAGTATGGCCCCAGCCCGGCCCTGGAGCAGCTCCTACTGTGTCTGGGCTGGGTGGTGCTCAGTGCCCCAGGCTACAATGGGGGTGAAGCCTCCCAGCACAGAGTAAGGCTAAAGCGGGGGGCGGGGGGCGGGGGGTGGAACAGCTGTGTCATGATGTGCATTTTTCTTTGTGGAAAGAATTATTCTAAGGAATAATTTACCCAGAGTAGTCCATAAAACAGGGGTGCTCAACCTCCGGCCTGTGGGCCACATGCAGCCCACAAAGCCATTGCATCTGGCTCATGGGGCTCCCCACAGGTCGGTATACTTGGTGGTGGGGAAGTGGTGACAATTAATACAGCCACCCTCCCCTGCCAAATTCCCAAACCCCAAGCTCCATGCGGTGGGTCAGAACCGAGGTGTCCCCTGGCCCCCTCTGCATGACTGGATGAGGCCCTGCTATACCTGCTCCAGGCACCAGATCAGGATTACCGGCCCAATTTTGCCTGCAGATGGTCTGGGCACTGCTCATCTGTCCTGCTGGGCAAAAAGGTTAAGCACCAATGTTGTAAAAGATTTCTGGGAAGGGGAAGGAGTTCATATATGACTCCTGTCCATTCTTCCCAGGCAGTGTGGATGCTCTGTGTAGCTGCAATATAACTTGTGCAGCAACTAATCTAACATCTGATTATACACTGTATCTCTCAGCATCATCACTCCTGTTACCAAAGGCCAAACATGCTCATTGTTTTTCTAGCTCTTTGAGAAAACTTTCTTGACCTTTATAAAAATAATAATAATAAAAAAAGCATGAGGTGGGTTGTTTCAATTGCACTGAGCAATACTTACAACTTACATTATAGTTATCTTTTGGGAAACACCCAGCCCCTGTAATATTCTCACTCAGAAAGGGTGTTGTTGACTGTAAATCATTCCTGTTGTTTGAAGGGCTTCCAGAGGAGTCATTTGAACATCTGGAGAACCTGAATTACTTGTACCTTGCGAACAATAAGGTAAGAGGGGTTTCGAAGCTGCTCTCCAGTGTAATTTAAGAATGTGATGACTGTAAAAAAAAAAATTTGAGTATTTTATATGACTTGAATATTGTGCTGAGGCACATGGGTCCTCCTGGGTGTGCGACTTCAGCGTGGGTAATGGCGGTGAGAAACAGCGGTGTCTGATGAACAGCGAGAAGTGGAAACTGCCATAGCTTTCTCCTTTTACACTTCATTGAAAACTGTCCCCTCCCCATTGGGCCAGTGGACCTGGAGGACTATGGAGCAAATGTAAATGTGTCTTAGAAATGAGCTGGTTCTACTGAGATTTTGGGACCATGCTGGTGTGCCCCACTGCTTCCCCGCGTGTTTGTATCCCACTCCTATAGTGGGTTGGCATCAGAAGTTACTGGTAAGTGTCTACTCTTGCTAGCAGCTAATTCAGTTACTCTTTCAGCTAAAGGGGTGTCTTTTTTTTAGCAGCGAAGATCCCAAGTTCTTGCCCAGCTGATGACCCATGGCAGAGGGCAGTGAAGACGTGCCACCTTTCTAACAGGGACGGAAATGTCTTCACGTCACCCAGCCCTTAAGGGGGTTCTGTTTGTTACAGGGTTTGGAGAGAGGAAGAATACTTTGTGCCTGAAAGATCATCTAATCTCTTTCCCAGCTATACAATTACTCCAATAAAACATGTCACCAGAAACCGTTGCTTGTGCTTGTTAAGGTGAAGGTTGTTTTTTTTTTAGTGAATCCCCAGAATTACTTGCTATGGGAGGACATGTCATGCCTGAGAAAAGTCAGTGGAGAAAAAGGAAAGCTCAGTTGTGAAGGTGGAGACCATCTTGCATTTTTAATTCATTTAATTTCTCTATATAAATACCTGTGACCCTTTGGCCTTTAACTTGCATGCAGATGGCCAGATTTTTGGTCTCAGGTGCGCCAAGACAAATCCAGAATGACTCCTGTGACTTTCCATCTGGAATTACCCTGGTATGACCGAGACCTGGACCTGCTCCTTAGTACAGTAACACCATGTTCTCTCCTTCTCTTTCTAACATCATTTCCATGTAACAATCTTGGCAGTGAGCAGCACCATGAAAAAGATCAAGCCAGACTGTGATTAATATTCCAAAACTTTGTACTCCAGTTTTTCCCTGTGTGACAAACCAGCGCTTGGTTTTTCCTGACATTACTGCAGGGAGAGATGCATCCAAGAGAAAAATGCAAATTTCAGCGAATGTCAGAAGCAGTTATAGTGAGAAGTTATTGACCTAAAAAATCACACATTTCTTCATAAGACTTGAGCCAGGACAAACCGGATTGGGTTTGAGCTGAATCCCTGCTGCACTGGGACACATTGCAATCCACCAACTGTGGTGTCTGGAGGAGAGCAGGGATTTGCTGGTAGTTTACTTCTCACTTTGTGGATTATCTTGATGCTACCTTGGCTTTGATTCTGATAGCTTCAGATATAGCTAGATCAGCAAGGTGCGTTTTTTTTTTTTAAATTAGCAAAGTAGGGCAAACAGAAGAGCCTAATAGGTTAAAATCTTGCTGTCCTGGAGGTAAATAACTCATACGGATTTCCTTTAAGTGCCTCAAGAACCTCCACACCAGGTTTCGGCCATGGGCATCTAGAGCAAGCTGCGTTTATAATTAAAACCTCGTCTGCTAAAACACAGGGCAGGTGCTAAGCTACTGTATTGACTGCTCTAAGCTCATCATCAGCCTCTTATTGCTGAGAAGTTCTAACTATCCTAATATTTACACTGGTATTATGGGATTTGCTGGATCCAACTCATTGCTGCTTTTGCCCAGGTCTGTAGCGGACAAATAGGAAACTGATTCCAAATCCTGGAAACAGGTTTGTATGGTGGTGTGTGGGGTTTATTGGTTAATCTGTCAATTAACCACGGAGAAAAGAAATCTGCAGCATAGATGGGAGTCCAGCAACAAAGCTTTAAAAAAAAATACTTTTGGAAGTCAGTCTATTGTTGTTTAGACAAGTAAAATACGGGTCGTCTTAGGACTGAATCTGCTTAACTTTATGAAAACCCCAGCATTAGTCCTCCAAAGTTTCAAACCTGTTGAAATCATCATTCATTGCTATAGCATCCACCCCAAAACAGTACATCCAGTACACCATCCATCCTCTGAACTCCCTTGGAAGCAGCAAAAGTTTTGGCAAGTTCAGCACTCTCCGCAGAAGCAGATATAGCAAACGTATCTCGAGCCAAACGCTCTGATGTCACTCCACAGCAGCTTCTGCACTGACAGCAATTTTTTTTTCCTCCCCTCCTCTAATGGGCAACATCTGGGAGATGAGCACATGGCTGGAAGGAGGATTTGTGGATAAGTGATGGTGATAGCAGGTGAAAAGCAGAACGGGATGTACCCTCTACTGAACGTATTTCCCGTTTCTAGTAAGAAAATGGGATTTCTCTTCAGAGGTCTGCCCTTTTTCTGGCCAGGCTTCTAATGTGCTTGAGGCAGGTGAGTGGAACATGCAAAGCATCAGAATAATTTGTTTTATAGGCTTTTGGGAGCAGCCATATTTTTCTGATGTCAGCTGATATCAAGGGTGATGGGGAAGGTACAGTATCGACATTCCTGACCTAATGAATCACTGGAAACATGCACAGAGATCCTGGGACCCCTCATCTATCTTCAAATATCCAACTCTTGTGTGTTCCCACCAATTACTATAAAAGTTCGTGAAAGGTCTCATGATGGGACAGTTTTTGTTACGTCACTTCTGTCTGCATTGGCCTTCCTGCTGCAGCTGACATCCAGTGATGCAATGGATTGGGAGAAGGCCTCCTGTTTCTCTCTGACGTATCAGGCCATGTCTTCTGAGACCTCTGATCTTCCCAGCCATCACCAACAGTACAATCCCCAATAATTGAGGCGAGCTGTACTTGGGACACAGACTGTTACCAGCCCTGGGAGAAGAGGAGATTGGCGGATAGCCAGGTATCAAGATGCCAAGAGCAGCTAGAAACTGTTTTCTTCATAAACAAAGAAAACCTCCTGTCCAGTTCCTTCCTGTGCCACTTTCAGCGGGTGTAATGTTTCTCTGTGTCCCACCTGAGTAAGCAATACCCTTGTGTTTTTATATAAGAGAGCTGACCCAACTGACTGCACTCGGAGGAAAGCTTGAGCCCACCATTGTCCATAAAACAAATGTTCTGCCTATTTGATTTCTGTGAATTATGCCATGGTAGAAACAGTTTTCCCGATGCTTTGCATCTACTCATCCCAACGATCACCCCGTCTGATCAGCAAGGGAGAGGACACGTACAGAGCTAAAGGCCATGTGCTGTCAGTTTTGGTTGCGAGCAAATTGTCTCTGCTTGCCACCCATTCTTGGTGATATTGGGGAAAGGCTCAGAGGAGGTAACATCCCTAGGAGGTGTCTTCCGGCTTGCATGGGTGCCCATTGAACAATTTCAGGCAAGGTAAGCCCAGCAACTCGATTACAGGAGGCAGCTACAGAAAAATGAATCTGACTTATTTTCAGTTTCAAAAAAGAAAGTCTGAATTGCAAGTCTGGCATGTTACAAAGTGACAGAAACCCGCCTCTGACCCGCCTGCGCTTGACACCACCAAGGAGAGAAGCTCAAATATTCTCTTTGCTTATGTAAAGTGTAAGGGCAGGCCACTCTGGTGAAATAACCGTTCTCCCCCAAAACCTGCACGATGTCTTCATCTTTAATAGTAATTTGTAAAACATTTAAGTCCTTGCCATCCCTTAATTTGGGCTATCATGTGTCTTGTCTACCCTGTGGCCTGGCTCTCCTGATAGTTATACCAGTGGAAATCAAAAGTTGATGGAAAATACTGGTGTGATCATGGTGTATGAGGAGCTTTCACAGATTCAAGGCATTGAAGACCAGAAGGGGCCATTGGGGGTCAAGAAGGATGATTTCTTGTGTGACCCAGACCGTAGAATTGCAGCAAGTGACTTCTGTTTCAGGCCATAGCTTTTAGCTGAGCTACAGCATCTCTTAGCAAGATAACCACTCTTGATTTTAGGGCTTCCAGTAACAAAGGAATTCATCCATCCTAGCAAGTTGTTCCAGCTTCACCTAAACATTGCACCTTTTATTCACTTGAATTCCTCTAACTTCAGCTTCTGGTGGATGGAGTCTGATCTGCCTTTTGTCCTGCTTGTGGAGCCCTCTGCTCTCAGTTCCTCGCCGTGGTGATTAGACTGTGATCAGGTTATGGCTTAGCCTGCTTTTGGATAACCTAATATAGGCTGAACTTCTGTAGTCTCTGTGCAGGGCAGGCTTAATTCTTGTACCTCTTTTTTGAACATCCTTTTTTAAAAGCATGGGCTTGTTGTTCCGGTTGTGATGTCAATAGTGCCATGTACCTGGGTGATAACGCCTCCCTCCTCTATTCAGCTTTCCAGCCAAAGACTGCAGCGATTTTTCTTAACCAAAGCATCACAGGAGAGGCTTGGCTCAGTTGTGGTTTCACTTCGATCCCTAAATCTTTTTCTGAAGCGCAGCTTTTTCTGAAATACAGTCCTCCATCCCATGAATGTGAGTTGCACTCATGGCTTCTAGATCGATGACCCTGTCTGTAGCTGTAAATTGGTGATCCCAGGTTATCATATAAACCAGATTACTCTCTAGAACTTACCAGTCTTAATAGTTAACTACTGTTCTACCATTCACCATCTGCAGGCTTTACCCAGAATCATTTTTATATATTTTCCCAGATAATTGATGATAATAGTGAAGAGCATTTGGGTCAAAAGAACAAAACTCTCCAGTAATCTTTGTTTGGAGTGTAAACTCTTTGCTACAAAAACACCGGCATGTTATTTGACTCGAATAAATAAGAGCTAACAATAATATTCATAAGATCCTTGCTCCTGTGGCCACTTGAAAGTCTCCTGTCTCTTGGTGGTTTCTTCTTAAACAAACGCCTATGTGGTTTTGGGATGCATCAGTAGAAGCATTAGGTGCAAGTCACAGCAGGTGATAGTGCCTCGCTAGCCAGTCCTGGCTAGGCCTCATCAGCAGTATTGAGTGCAGTTCTGGGCTTCACATTTTAAAAAGGACATGGAGAAGTTAGAGAGGGTCCAGGCAGGCAACAAAGATGATAAAGGGCTTGGAAAGCAAGTCGTATGAGGAGAGTCCTGAAGGAACTAGGCATGTTCATCTTGCAGAAAAGGTGCTTAAGAGGGGACGTGATAGCAGTCTTCAAGGACTTGAAAGGCTTCCATAAAGAAGAGGGAAAGCACCTTTTTCTCTATTGCTGCAGAGAGGAGGATGTGGACCAATGGCTTGAAGTTGCAGCAGAGTAGGTTCAGACTGGGCATCCTTCAAAGCATCTTCGTGGTTAGAAGAGCGAGGCCGTGGAATAGAGGCCTAGGGAAGTTGTGGGCTCCATCACCGGAGGTGTTCAAGAAGAGGTTGGACAGCCACTGGGCAGGGCTGATTTAGGCGCAGCGATGCCCGTGTTCTTCTAGGGGTAGTTCCCAGGCTTCTGGGCTTCTCTGGTTGCCCCCACCCACTTCTTTTTGCTACGAGCCAGGGTGAGTTTGAACCTTCCTCAGGCGTTGGGTGTTGGCTATTGCCAGGGCTGGGGATTGTGACTGCGGTGTGCCTCTGCTCCTGCTGGGACCAAAGCCAGAAGTTCCTGGGGAAGGGGGTCTTGTCCCTCCACTCAGCATCAAATCAGTCGCAATATTTGGGCTGAGAAAGGACTTTGACGCCATGGTCAGATTGGTACAGACTGTGGGTTTTTTTACCTTCCTCTGTAGCAGGGAGCATGCGTGACTCTCTACATGGGATCTTTTGAGCCTATATTGAAAGCATTTAATAGAAGCAGGATATTGAGTGCCGTGGGTCCCCTTGCTGTACCTGTGGCGGGGTTTGGTGCTAGGGCTGTGTTGCGTCAGGGTTGATGGTAGTCTTAGACCGGTTTTTAGATTATGGTTTGTGTGCAATAGTTTGGATGGGGCTGATCCTGCCTCAGGTAGGGGGTTCGATGAGATGACCTCTGGAGGTCCCTTCCAGCCCTCCTCTGATCCAATCCAAACACTGGGGAGGGGGGTGGGAATCTACCTTTTTCCTATAGAGATTATTTAGTGAAGACAGGTAAACTTTGCTGTTTTTATTTAGACACTTCGAGCTAGGCTATCTGTCTTTTCAAAGAAACTGGCTTGGAAGTAGCTTGGGTTAGTACCACACTTGCTGCATTTAAATAGTCTCTTTCTAATATTTGTTTTCCAGTTAACTGTGGCTCCGAAATTTCTACCAAATACCTTGATCAGTGCAGATTTTGCAGCCAACTATCTCACTAAGATTTATGGGCTCACATTTGGACAGAAGCCAAACCTGAGGTAAGGTGAAATGATAACGTTTTGTCATTGCTGGGAGCCAACGTGTGAGTGGGAAAAATCGCCATATTTACTTGCATACTATACCCATCACTTTCCCAAAAATTAACCAGTCAGAATTGGAGTGTGTGTTTTAAGCAAGGAACTTGATTTTTGCACCAGATTGAAACATGGGGCCGCTAAATGGCTGCTGGGGCCTGTGCTGCCTTCCCCAGCCCATGCAGGAGGGGAGGAGTCCAGTTCTTGGCATTGCTCACCCTCTCAGCTGCAAAGCTAAAGGTTTAGCAGCAGCTATGACAGCGTTAAATTGGCAGCAGCTTTTGGCTGCTATTTGGAAGCTGGTTTTGAGTTATTTCCACCCCTTGTGGAAGCAGAAAGGAGGGAAATGATTCTTCCTCAAGATATTTACAGCCCTGCTTTGCAATCTTGAGACGCTTAGGTTTGCAACCAAACCTTGGGGCTTGTCTCCTTGACCATGTACCAGGAGTTTTGAGGCTTGGCTACAACTCCAGTAGATTCCTTTCGCCTTCTAGCCAAACACAGAGCTGAGCTCAAACCACTAAATCCAGACAGAGATTTTGAACAGATACAGATGGTAGGCTTTTGTTCAGCCTGTTGCTGAGGTGAGAGAGTTTGTGAAATTCAGGTTCAAGTCTTGACTTCGAACAGCTCAACATTTCAGAGGGTATTAGAGCCCAGAGCTTCAGTTGGGCAGCCTTTCTCTTGTTGCATGTGGCATAGCCAGAAAGTGTATGGCTTGACAACGAAAAACCCATGAATTGGATTCTGCCATTTGTTTGTATTTCAGTGTAATCCCACTTGACAGTTATGCCCTCGGGTCAGTGCAGCCACAGCTTGACTGTGCATCTTGTGGAAGTCCTTGCCCTGTTTGTCCAGCGACTCTTCAACTGCTGCAGTCATCTCATTACTATAAAAAAAACAAAAACCTTCCCATAAAGATCTGCTACATGTCCCCCAAATTAAAGGAAGTCTGGTGAACAGGCTGGAAGGGGAATAGTTCAAAGTCTCATGTGCTCATTATGGTCTCCGTGACTGGGACCGTGTATGGGGGGATGCACTGTCCAGGTGAAACAAAACTCCTGGATTCTACTTTCCAGTGACCTTCTTTGATGGGTTGGAAAGCACAGCAGATTGCTGGCCCGGTATTCTCCATTTTCTGATCTTGTCTTTTGAAAGGTAGTCAGTCAAGGTCAGTTATCCTTTCCTTGACCTAACTAACGGACATCATCTTCTTGAATTCCCTGGGAGACCGAGACTGTGCACATGCTATACTGTTGAGTCTCAGGATTAAAGCAGTGAATCATGCATCATCCTGATAATGATTCATAATCCTGCTCGTGATTTTTTTTTTTCTGGGTTGGCTTGAAATTGTGCCAGAGGCTCTCTGCAACTGTTGTGTTTTCATCTGATCAGTGCACAAAATCCTAGCTAGCGGCTCACCCTGCTCACCCTTTTTTCAGGGCCAAGTCTTCACTGAGGATGGCATGAACTGAAACTGTGCTGTGACATGTCTCAGCTTGTGTCCGACTTATCACAGGGGTCACCTGTTACCCTCTAGTGGACTTCACCTGCTTATTTTGGTGATCTCTCAGGGACGTCCTGACCTTAGCTAATCCTCATTGCTGATCTCTTGCTTGAAGTCAGCTGCTTAGTGTTTTAGTGTGGTATATGAAAGGATATCATCCGTCAATGTTGCCACCTGTCCTCATGGATTTCTTTTGGGTCGAACTCCTTCTTATGGAGGTGCTTCCTCACCATGGGTTTCATGCTTCTCCATTTTTCAACTTTTATAATGACTGACTCCCGTGGATGTGTCCTGGCATGAGTTCTTTATGTACAGATGCCCACAAAAACACAAGTCTGCTAGCAAATAAACACACCTAATGGCAACTTCAGTCAATGAAATCTGCTGGACCCCAGCATTTTAGTAAATAAGTCAGTCTAGATGTTTTCTGAACACCCCGTGTAAATTTAAAATATAGATACGTGTATCCCCTAAAATGGGGGGTGGAGGGGGGCATGAGATTGAGATGTAGTTTCCAGAGGGATGCCCTGGGTAAGTCTGGACTTGAGGATGATCTTCTGAGGTCCCTTCCAGCCCTAATGTCTATGAAATAATGTCTGTGAAAGTCTAGGAAAGCAGACCCCATTGCTTGACTCGAGCTTTCTTTCTGGCAGATCCGTGTATCTTCATAACAACAAACTTTCGGATGCTGGGTTACCTGATAACATGTTCAATGGCTCTAACAATGTGGAGATACTGATCATGTCCAGCAACTTCCTCAAGTACGTTCCCAAGAATCTTCCCCCCGCTCTGTACAAACTACATTTAAAGGTAATGGAGCCAACGTCGGGTGTTTTTCTTCCGCATGTGTCCAAAATTCATGCTGCTGAGCCAGCCCCTTCCAGTTCACTTGGAAAAATTCCCAGGCCCATTGTTATAATTTACTTGCTAAATTTGGGCTGTGTGAAAAGCAAGGCTGAGGACAGCTGATCTCCCCTGTACTTACCAGTTTCTTTGCATGGGAAGTGATGGTACTTTTGCAGTGCAGCAAGCTGCTGTTTGCAGGGAACAAAAAGTCTTTTCTCTGTTTCCAAGGGAATTTATTGCAGATGCTGGCTGGCAGGCTTGCTGGTCTCACTCCTGCCTGTAACCAAACACCAGGGAAACCTTGGATAGAGGTAGCGCAAGTGTTCTTGCACTACTCTGATCTGGAGGGATCGCACACAGGGATGAGAAAGTAAAGAAATCTCTAAGGCTCCAAATCTGGCAGGCTCAGCAAGGAGACCAGTTGTGGTGGGCTTTTTCCCAACATAGCTGATTTTCCAGTAGGTACTCGGTTTTCCTGCCAACTCATTGCACATAAGACTCTTCACTTTTAATTGCTATTAACCTAGTATCTCAGCCTGCCTATAATTCTGTTTTGGACCTCTGCTGGGCTCCGGTCTTCTTACCTCCATATGATCCCCTTCTGGTAAAAACACCTGTACCACGTTTACACCAGTGCTCTCATCACCACTAACACTCGGGCTGAGTGGCAGAAAATCCTAGGCCTAGCCATTTCTATTGCTGATGTTCCCTTAGAGTGGATAATAGGAGCAGAGTAATGAATCAATGAGCTAGAAGGCCAAAGGGAGAGGCCGAGTTAGTTTTGATGCAATACAGTCATGTCTGTCTCTTCCTTCTTGAATATCTTGGATGTTGAGCCCTTGTTGGTGCAGGCAAGCTGGTTAAGAGGATACATGAGATTATTTAATATAGTGTACTTGAATGTTTCTGTGTCTGCTCTATTTAGCATTAGTTCCCTTAGCAGAACATGCACATCCTACGGTCAGCTTATTATTCCTGCTTGTAAATGGAGTATACATGTGGTGACATTTTACTGTTGGCTGAGAGCAAAAGCAAGGTTTCACCTGTTGCTGCCTGCTAGCTACTCAGAAGCTGCATGAAGAGAAGTGTATCTTTAGGGAATCTGGCTGTTAGATGGCATGCCCTTTGGGAGCACGCGGGTATGGGTAATGCTGCGGGACTGGCTGGTTCACCTGCAGCTGGAAGTCTGCTTTTATAGTGAAATCTGGTTTGCAGAATCTGGAGTCTTGGGCTGGGCTTCCTTGAGGTGCCTCTTTGATAGACTTACATACAGGTGGAGGGAATATGAACCTGTAGACTTAATTAGGCCCCATTAATGAGCCAAATCTTGTGGTTCCCCTTGCTCCGGGAAGTATGCCAGAGGAGGTAAGAGGAGTGCAACCCAGTGGGGTTTGGGTTTATTCCTCTTACAGACCCAATGACAATCTTTGTGTCATCTCAACTGTTGCCCCTACTGATCTTTTGTTACTCCCTGGGTGTTTATACACGTGCTCTGGGGAGGTGCTTTAATAAGAGTGGCTCCAAGAGCAGCTCTAATTAAAGCACCTAGAATGTCTCGCGTATAAGCATCCCCACGCTTAAAAATGGTGGCAGAGGTGCTTTTACAGTGCCCCCACCACCATTTTTAAGCACAGCAATGCTGATACACGAGACATTGGAGTCTGCTGAAGCATGCAGACTCCATTAATCGGGTCTGCTCCAACGCATTGTAATTGCAGCGCATTGGCGCAGCCTCACTGCTTGTGTATAGGCGCCCCTTATGTCTGTGAACGTGAGGCCTACAATACATACTGTTCATCATTGTGCCTGCGGACACTTTAGCCTAATAATGTGCTTCCTGTGGCTGCAGAACAACAAGCTGGAGAAAATTCCCAAAGGAGCCTTCAGTGAACTCTCAGGCCTTCGAGAGCTGTATTTGCAGAACAACTACCTGACTAACGAAGGGATGGACAATGAAACTTTCTGGTGAGGATGTGCTCTTTGGGGGGTGTGCTGGGGTGGGGGATAGTGGGCTCTTTTCCAGGGTGCAGTACATGTACAATGAGGTACAGCGGCTCCATTTATAACACATGCATTCATTTCCTGGGTCAAGATGAAAAGACCTAGATGCAGATGCTGCTAACCCAAGATGAGGATTTAGGTGAGCAGTCTGAATTGGCATCACATGGTGTCCTTAAGGGATACCCTATTTCATGTCAAATTATGTCATCTCCCTGGTAGCTACAAGCCTGCTAATGCAGTGTACCATGTGCCTTAACACCGTTTAGTCCTGCTGAAGTGGAGGACTGTCATGGCCCAGCTCCCAATAAGAAAGTTTCACTTGGCACCTTCCAGATCCAAATGCAGATCTCTGAACATCAAGGTCAGATGCTCAGTGCTGATAGGTGTCCTTTATGCTTCTTCTGTGTCACACAGGGGACTAGCAAGCTGCCCTTGATGTGCAGTTGAAGATTAGCTGGGTAGGGGGTCCACCCGAGTGTAGGAGGAGTGCTGGGGAGGGAGGCATGGAGCTGGGGACAGCTGGACTTTGGTCCTTCCCACAAGCCAAATGGGCCCACAAAAGTTGGTAGAACTTAGAGTAGTCCTTTGGCTGCTCTAGGTCATGCCAGGAGAGTTTGATCCCTCATGACCCTGGGGATCAGTGGCTCAAAACACTTCCTTTGCCTCCAGTTATGCTGGGCATTACACTGGCTGTGCTGAGAATCTGGCTCATGTGATTTGTCCTGCCTGTAAGCTCCTATGGACTCTGTTAACCTCTCAGTCTGTCCTTCACCTTTCAACCTCCAGACCATTTGGCAGCCTCACAATTGCCTAGGAACTTGTATTTGATTTTGCTATGTTAACTTGTTGATTGTAACATTTCTGATGAAGGCTGCACGAGCAAGCATGGCTGCTCTGGCTAAGGCACAGATCCCCTTCTGCAGTGGGGATGGGTGGGGATTTTTGCACTTGGCTGTCAATGGTTGCTCTAAATTAACCTACCAAGCCATATCTCCCAAAGACACTGTGTCTATTGAAAATAGGCTATGCACCCTCCAGCCTCTATTAACAGCGCGTGCCACTTGAACTTCTCCAGCCCCAGAAATACCTGCCCTGAGACACAGAAGTTGAGAGTTCTTGGGGCTGGTAAATGCTACCACTGATCTGTGCCCAGTTGGTGTAAGTGGATGAGCTGAGGATTCATTTTGTTTCAATTGGGACCTTGGTATCCAGTGTGAATGGCTTACACAAAGCAGATCTGGCCCTAAATCAGTTCCATAATCTTGGAAGGTCACAGGAAGTTCATTATTTTGGAAAAAGCCTCCAAGCTTGTGTTTCTCCTTTCTGTAAGTGAAATGGTGCTGCATTATAAAGGCAAAATTTGATTTCCAGTGTGAAAAATGCTCTTTAATTTGAAAAGGGAGACAGGAGCTGCTGCCTGCTAGGCTGTACTAACTTGCAAATGACCCAGGAGCTAGTGCATGTTGTTTGGGCTTCCCTTGCATCTCTGCCTACCTTTCTGTGCAGTCACTTTGGTTGTTCTGCCGTACTGCTTGGTTTGAGGTGTCAGCAAGGGAAATGCCAAACTGCAAAGCAGACCTCAGCCCTCTGGCGGGTGACATGTTCTCAAAGCTTAATGAGCCCAGGTGGCTGTCCCGGTGGTGTGGCTCGTGGCTAATGGCACTGGCTCTCTCCGAATAGCCAGTGAGACACCCACATGTTCTGTATGCCCCAGCAGGGCTTTTGCACCAGACTGGATGGGAAGTACCTGCGGGCCTGTGCTGGGGGAAGTCAGGTTTCACCTGACAATAAGTAAACAGAGAGTGTCTGTCTGTTTTCTTTCCCAAGGAAACTGTCTAGCCTGGAATATCTGGATTTGTCGAGCAATAACCTTTCGCAAATCCCAAGTGGTTTACCTCGAAAGATTGTCCTCCTTCACCTGGAGAAGAATGCCATTAAGACAATTGCCAGGGACGTCTTGCCCCAAATCAAGAACCTCGAGTACCTTCTGCTGCACAACAACAAGCTCAAGGCCCGAGGGATCCACCCGGCCGCCTTCCAGGGGCTGAAGAAGCTGCACACGGTCCACCTGTACAACAACATGCTGGAAAGGATCCCCAGCGGGCTGCCCCGGCGCGTGAAGACACTTATGCTGCTTCATAACCAGATCTCAGAGATCAACAGGAATGACTTCGCCAACACGTACTTCTTGGAGGAGCTCAACCTGAGCTACAATAAGCTCACGAGTCCCCAGATCCGTCGCGAGGCCTTTCGTAAGCTGAGGCTACTGAAGTCACTGGATCTTTCTGGAAATAATCTCCACACGGTGCCCTTTGGCTTTCCCAAGAACTTGCAGATCCTGAAGCTGAAGGAGAACGAGATCAGCTCCATCCCGAAAGGTACCCTGGCTGGGATGACCAAGCTGCGGGAGCTCTTCTTGAGCCACAATAAACTGAAAGTCTCCTCCATTTACGTGGGAGTGTGGAGAGAACTGAGCAGTCTCCAGGTAGAAACATCACCCTCTCTCCTTGTTTGGATGTGCTGTATCTGTCTGCTTGAGCCAGTTCAGGTAGCAATAATGCTAGGTTTGCATTGGTTATTATTCTCTAGATGTGCACTTAAAGGGTGGGACCTACTGGCTCGAGGGGGGAAAGGGGTTTCTCCTATCTGGGTTTTGCAAACACTTGTGGTAGATGTATCCATCCACCGTGAAGTAGACTTGTTCTCCACCGTTCTGTTTTTAGAGGATGCATAATGCTAGCTTTTGTCCTGAGCTGATGTAGGGCTTATGGGATGTGGTTAGTTGTAATAGCAGGGGTCTAGGTTTGATAGGCAAGAAGTCCCTTTAGAGTCCTGTATGGCAGGGGTGTCAAATACGACCTGGAACTGAGTCCAGCCTGTGGAGCCCCATGATCTGTTCCCCAGTGCGGTCCCTGGGTCTGAACTGACCCTGCCCAGCTCTGAGCAGTGCCTAGGAAGTGTACTGCACGCTGGCATCTGTTCCAGCCCCTCCAGGAGCTGCACCGTACACGGTGCTCACCCCAGGCACTCCGGGACGTGGGCTGCACATGGTGCCTGGCCTAGCAAGTTCAGGACAAGTGCAGCACGTGAAGCCCATGTGTAGCACAGGTCCCAAACCAGCTGGGGCAGACACCATGTGCCGCGCAGTACTGGGCTAGCTGCTAGGGGTGCCATGTGTGACACCATGTGTAATGCAACGGCCACTCCAGGGTCCATGCCACGTGTGGTGCCTCTCCAGGACACTCACCGTGTGCAGCACAGATCCCAGAGCAGGTGCTGGATCCAGCACGGGGGGTATGGAGGGGACCTGGGGCCTGTTGGCCTGATCCAGCCTATGGAGTGACCCTGGGTCACTCATCCAGCCTGCGGGACCAAAAGAGCGGACACCCTTGCTCCATGCCATTAGGTCACTGGTGGCAAGCTCTCTTGTATCTGCATGTTCAGCTGACACTCCTAGCAATGCCCCTTGTCTCTCCAGAGGATTTTAAATCTGCTTTTTGTTCAGACCTCAGAAGGGAGGGTCTTCAGCAGGATGGGAGTGTGCAAAAAAAAAAACGCACTTCATGTACAAAACATCCACAGCAGCATGTTGTCACCCGAGCCAAGCTGTAGGATTCAGCAGAGGCTGGCTGAGGCACCTCAACAACAGTTGGAGTCTGGATTTAATCAGCAGCCTTGTCATTTGCCTAATTGTCGGGGAAAGCTGAACATGAAACATAAGGCAGGCAAGAACGGTCCCATTTGTGCTGTGCAAAGTGACCTTTCAGCGCGTGTGGTAGCTGACAGATTTGTCTGCATTTCCTTGTAGGCAGCAGCCCATTCCCTGCAGTAAAAGGTATTACCCCGTCATGTGGCTGCTATCTCCTGTGCATACATTAGGGCGCTTTCGGGGGGAGATTCTGTATCTGAAAGCAGCTCAGGGATAAGGGATGCAGAACATGTCGTGCTGGTCTCCACTGCAAGGGCCTCAAACAGTCCCGGTGTTTAGAGGGCAGCATTTCATCTCCTGTTAGCTCTGCTCTCAAAGCCTCCCCAAGAAAACAGCGGGTTGTATTCTTTGCTAGTGTGAAGCAGCAGTCACTGGACCTGCGGCATTGGGCACCAGCTGCAGCTCTTGCTCATACCTGTATCATACCTTTTATATGTGCTTGTTACCTTGGTGCTTTAAACGTAGGAGGATAAACCCAGGCATGGTGCAGGTATGTCAGCAGTACAACGAGGATGCTTTGGTCAGAGGGAAGAAGCTGGTGAGCGCGGGGGATTACAGCCGATCAGCCTGTTTCGCTGTAATGGTCCCATGAAATCTCGCCTGTCCCTGCCTCTGCTTTTAGATGCAAGCAAATGCTCATCTGAACTTGGAAAGTTTAATCTGGAAGGACACAAGCTTCGGCATCGTTCTGGCTTCACCTGACTGCCACAACATAGAAGTTGATAATGGACCAGAAAAATGTAGTGCAGAATCAGACCCAAGCGTTCAGCTGTATGCAGCTGTGTTGTAAAGTCTGTTTGGATAAGAATGACGTTACTAAAATAGGCCTGTTTTGTTTTGTGTTTTCAAGTAAATGCTAGGGAGGCTACTCTAGAGCACATTTGGGCAAGGCATTTTGAGTGGCTGTTATTGCTGAGTTATTTCCCTTACTCTGTATTTATATATCATTTATATACCCTTAATTTATATATCATTAGGGGCTTGGCTATTCAGCTCTTGGATGACTAGGTGCACTCATAGCTTCAAATATACTTTATTTGGCATAAAGAACTAGCCCCCTTGAAGTCATGAAAATCTACCCCAATGTGTAAAGTTAGGCATTTGCAAAACTGGGTCTTGAATCCAAGCGTGTCACCAGAGTGACAGGAGTTATTCCAGATGTGCAGGCCAGTAACTCGGAGCAGGGCTTAGATCTGGTGGCTGTTTGGCGCCGGACGAGTACTAGAGAGGGCAGACAAAGAATGAGCCTGACCTGTTTCCTTCTGTGGGACTGCTCACTCTGGTAAGCGACGGTTGGGACATCCAGTCTAAACTAACTGAATAGACTGGCCTGTAGAAGAACAATTTCTTGCCATGTTAAAAGTAAGTGACTGTTTCCCCGAAGTGTTTGTGAGCAACATTGCAGGAATCCCTCCTGCGGATTTGAAACCCTGGCTGCTTTTTGTTCATTTCAAACAGGGCTGGACTAAACCCGGAGGCCGGGGGGGGGGAGGAGGACAGGGGCTCTGATGCCAGACAGCACATCTGATGTGAAACGGCTACATCAGATACACGTGTGGGAGGGCAGATCCCTTACGGCTTTGTTTGCTTGCCTAGAGTCCCCCCAGCTCTGCTGACTGACGCGAGTTAGAGTTGGCTAAAACCAGTTTAGAAAACAACAAAAATCCCTTCCATTCCTCCTGGTGAACTGGAACTGAACTTCTGTACGGGCTCGGGAATAGCCAGTTACACTTGCACAGCATGCGCTGTTTGTCATTTTGCTGACTCGGCTGGAAGTACCCAGCGCACCAGCAGACGCACAGCGGTCCCATGGGAGAGGCGAGAAAGCCTGTATCCAGATGATATGAAACCCCCAAAGCCTGGTTAAACTTTGCACAGACACCTCACTTCTGAAGAGTTTGCTGTGCTGATAGTTATCTGTGCTACACTTTTAAAGCTCACCCATTGCTAGCCTTGCTCCCTGATGACAAGTGAGAAATCATGCTCCGAGCGATAAATCGTGTTTCGTGCTGCTATGGACCTGAATTCATTTCTTCAGTTAACCCCTTGCCGTCTGCCTCTTCTTTCTCAGTTATTGGACATGGCCGGCAATCAGCTGATTTATATTCCGCCAGGCCTGCCAGCATCTCTGGAGTACCTGTACCTGCAGAACAACAAGATCACAACCATATCAGAGCGTGCTTTTGAATCCACACCCAACATAAAGGGAATTTATCTCAGGTAAGTGAATCTGAAATCCTAGCCTCTCATGGGGAGCTTGGGGTACAGCCAGCTCTATATGCAGTGAAAGAGTGGGTGTGCTCATCGCATGCTCTCTCTGCCTGGAGGGTGGCGTCCTTTTAAACTGTAGTGCTTGTAACAATGGGTCAGGTGCATTGCAGACTAGGAAGCCAGTGCACGTGCCTGTTGCATGTACCCACATGTAGCCATAACCTAAAAGTTAGGCTTATTTATAAGCCCTTCAGCCTTGCTAGTGTTTTTCAGTTCTGAATGTGTTCAGAGTACCAAAAGGACACGTGTTAGTGGGGCATGCATGACCCTAACTGGGAGGGGAGGGGGGTTGCCTGGGCAGTTGCGTAGAAGAGGGATGAGAGCAGGCTGCTGCGATAATCATGGTGCTTAGATTGCAATTATTGCAGATTGATCTTTTTGTCCAGAAGATGTGAAATTGTTGATTTTTAATAAACTGTGCCCTAGGGATCTTTAGGGAAAGAGAATTTTAAACCCTTTGCTAACAAATTCAATCTGATTTGCAGCGTCTTTCATGAAACTGCAGAGCCCATGACGCAGGGGACATGCATAACATGATACACTTTTTCAGCTCTAGACTCTGATCATTACAGGAAAGGTGAAAGCGGGGACTGGGGTATTTGGTGAAGGAGAGAGCCAGGGGCATCAATTATCAGTATTGCAGCAAATCACTGTCATGCGGTCACTTCTACCGTCTGTAAACATGGAAGCCGACATCCTCCTCTGTGATCTTGGTTCCTTAGGCAGCGCACCGGAGCCATAACTGGCTAGCTGAGAGTGCCTGGAGCTTGTGTAAAGCCAAGGAAATTAGCTGCTGCCTCTTGCTCTCCCAGCAAGGGAGCATGCCAGGGTGATCCCTGCTCTTCTAATCTTCCATTTCCATCTGGTCATTTCAGAGTGACGTACATCGTCGTGGCTGCTTCTAAAGGATATGCCCTAGCTCAGCCAGAAGTTATGACATGAACCGTTCAGTATACTCCTGTGGCCTGTGTTTATGCAGAAGGTCACACCGTGCAGTCAGGACGGTCTCTTCTGGACTCGGTCTTTGAATTCAGTGCACTAGTGGTGTAAGTCAGAGCAGCTCCTGGGCTGCTGGAACTAACCCACTGCCAAGGCCAATGCAGGTGCCTTCCAGCCTACTTTTCTATGATTTTTGGATGCGACTCTGACACACATCCCTGCTGTTGTTTGCACTGAAAATTCATCTGCAGCAGAGGGAGGTCCAGAGAGGCTGAATCTATTTCACAGCCTAATATTTGACTTCTTAGCTTAATTCCAACCCGAGGCTAGAACTTGGTGAAACTTTCAGAATGAAACCTCAAACTCCCCAGTTTTCACGGTGAAGCCAAAACCTGGGCTGGGGGCACTTTGCTCTCTGGACACCTGCTCAAAGAACTAGTTTTATACGAGATTTGGATTGAGTTATTGCAGCACCTGAGCTTTGCTCTGAGTCACACTTCAAAGGGCATGGAGCCGTGAAAACCAAAATGACTGAGGATTTGCCTTCTCCAATAATTGCCATGATGCAAAAGGGGGTGAAGTTTCACTGTGTATCAACTGTTCTGTCGTAAGTGCCCAGGTGCATGGTTTTACCCAGTGCTTTACTGTGGTAGCTGAGTCTTGTGAGAGAGAAGGCTAAATTGCCATGCTTTGGCATGGTATGCTACCTAATAAGGAGTGTGGGTTGTTTGGGGTTTTTTTTTTTTTTTTTT